GCTCGTGTTATCTATCGTATTCTGAATGGTATCCCATTTGATGTTGGTTCTGTGATTTTTGATGTTGTTGTGGGCTTTGCGGAAATCTCTAAGCCTCATAAGTTGATGTTGTACCCATCTACCATATGTGCTATTCTCTTCGAGGCTGGTGTGAAAATGGATCCTCGACTTGGTGATAATTATGCACCTGTTAACAAACCTCTTGCCCTTTCCGGTGTTAAGGTTGCCCCTCCTCATCATTTTCTTGTTAAGGCCTCCGATGTACCTTCACAGCTTCGCGGCTTTTTAAATCAACAATGGAAAGTTCTCGCGGGACTTGAAAAGAAATTGGCTGATCAGCGGAGGTACTACAAAGAGGTTCTGGGTGCCTTAAAGTCTCGTACCCCTTTGGCCTCTAAATTGAAAAAAGGGGGAGAAAAAGAAGGATGTTGCTGCGGTTGCTGCAAAGAAGAAAGATCTTTCTAAGGGGGAGAAAAAAATAGTGGGTGCTGAAGGAAAGTAGATAAAGGTGGTGGATGCTGCTTCTACTCAAAAAGGGAACGAGAAGGTCATTGCTGCCAAGGGAAAGGGAAAGGAGAAGGTGGTGGAAGTAGATGAAGGTTCTGATGAAGAAGAGAAAGAAGAAGAAGTTGGGTCTGATGAGGAAGAGGAAGCAGGCTCAGAGGAAGAGACTGAGGATGGCACAGAAAAAGGTTCAAGGGAGGAATCTGAAGAGGAAGAGTCTGCTTAGCCATTCTTCAGCTGGATATTTATTAAAAACTTTGTTATGTGTGCTTGTTTGAACTCCTTCCTTTATGTCTTATTATCTTGCGTTTGATGAACCTTTGTGGGATTTTTTGTGAACTAATGTGTTGTTATTTAGGTATTTGAAGTTGTTCCTAAGAACAACACATGTGTGATATTAGTATTCTTTGGAAGTTGTGTATTCTGCAGCATCTGTATTTGTTTCGTCTTTGTAGGTTCATGGTTTTCGATTTATCTGCCAAAGGGGGAGATTTTAAGTACTAAAAATTGGTAGTAAATCGATGAACCTTCTGATGATCACAGAGTCTAGAAATTTACGGGAGTATTTAAGGGAATTTTATTTTTGGTATAAATGAGTACTGAATTTTATTTAAGTCAAATTGACATATATTGTTTTATTCTTACAGGTCAACAAGATCAAAGGGGAAGATTCACCTTCCATAAATTAAGAAGAAGAAGATCGTGAG